GAATCGAGGGTGCAGCTTCCCTCTCTTTCCGAATCGAACGACTCCGCGAATCGGACGAACTCTGAGAAAAGCTGGTTCACCAACCTCGAACTGAATATCTCGTCGATGATGATCGGCTGAGGATTTCTGTCGACTCTGAGCTATCCTGAGTCTCTTCCGGATCAACTCGACCTGATCTGCCGTTTCCTCGATCAGCTTAGGACCGAGTACTCGCCGCTCTCCGACGTCGTCCCAATAAAGAGGGGAACGACACTTGCGACCATAAAGTGCCTCGTAAGGAGACATCTGAATAGAAGAATGATAGCTGTTGTTATACGCAAACTCGGCGTACGGCAACAACGACTCCCACTTAGCACCCCTGTCAACAACCAAAGCGCGAAGCATATCCTCAAGCGTCTGAATGGTCCGCTCGGACTGACCATCTGTCTCCGGGTGGTAAGCTGAACTAAACTCTAGCTTCGTGCCCATCGCCTCATGTAAACTGTGTCAGAATCGACTAACGAATCTAGGATCTCTATCAGATACAATCGTAACGGGCACTCCGTGGAGTCGAATGATCCCACGGGTATAAATCTCAGCCAACTTGTCCAGAGACATCTTCATCGAAACGGGTAAGAAATGCGCAACCTTAGTCAATCTGTCGACCACGACCCAGATAGCATCGTGATGTTCAGACGACCTCGGTAATCCCGTAACGAAATCCATCGTGACTTCCTCCCACTTCCACCTCGGAATCGGTAGTGGCTGCAAGAGGCCAATCGGACTCTGATGTTCGGCTTTGACTTGCTGACAGGTAAGACACCTCCTGACAAACTCGGCGACATCCTTCTTCATGCCTCGCCATCAGAACGACCCTTTCAGGTCGTGATACATCTTCGTGCTCCCGGGATGGGCCAAATAGGGTGCGGTATGAGCTTCTGATAAAATCTCCTTCCGCAACGCCTCGACCTTCGGGACCACGACCCTGCCTCTGAACTCTAAGGCACCATCGGCACCTAACTGGAAATCCTCGACGTCTCCGGCGCGAACCTTGACCTCTATGACGCAAATGAACTCGTCAGAAGCCTGCTCTCGCCGGATTCTCTCTCTCAGCGTCGGCTGAAGCTGCATGGCACTGACACTGGCACTGGTACTCCCCGAAACGGCTATGGGAAGTGCATCGATCGCCTGAAGTTGCATCCGGGCAAACTCCTGAATCAACGGACTCTGCTGAGTAATGACGTACGTCAAGTCACCCCTCACCTTTCGGCTAAGGGCATCCGCGACGACGTTCGCCTTCCCCGGATGATACTGAATAGACCAGTCGTAATCCTTGACGAGTTCTAACCAACGGCGTTGTACTGCAAGATGTACTGCAAGCTCTTATGATCTGTGAAAATCTCACAATGACCGCCGTAAAGATAGTGCCGCCAAATCTTGAGAGCGTGAACGACTGCTGCTAACTCCAAGTCGTGCGTCGGATAATTCTTCTCATGCGGCTTAAGCTGACGGGAAGCATACGCGACGACCTGGCCGTCCTGCATAAGGACAAATCCCAAGCCTTGTCTCGAAGCATCGCTGAAGATAGTGAAACTCCGAGAAGGATCGAGAATAGTCAACAGCGGTGCTGAAGTTAACCTCCTTTTGAGCTCCTGAAAGCTCGCCTCACAACGATCAGTCCACTCGAACTTCACAGACTTCCTCGTCATCTGGGATAAAGGGAGGGCAATCTTGGAAAAGCCCTCGATAAACCTGCGATAGTAGCCAGCTAAACCGAGAAAACTGCGAACCTCGGACGGACTCCTCGGTGTCGACCAGTTCTGAACAGCTGAGACCTTGGAAGGATCAACCTCGATACCTGCCTGAGTAATCACATGACCCAGAAAGGATACTCGCTGGAGCCAGAATTCGCATTTAGAGAATTTTGCAAACAACTTTTCTCGTCTGAGGGTTTCAAGAACCACCCTCAGATGCTCCTCGTGCTCCTTCTTGCTCTTCGAGTAGATAGAAATATCGTCAATAAAGACAATAACAAACTGATCGAGGTAGGGATGGAAGATACGGTTCATGAGGTCCATGAAAACAGTTGGAGCATTGCTGAGGCTGAATGGCATGACGACGAACTCGTAATGGCCGTAACGAG